AAAGAAAGTACATGAATCAGAAACTGTGCGAAGCAGAAACACAAAAAGCTCAATTCGTAGCAGATCTAGAAAATTCGAACGAAGGCATAAACACTAAAGCTTTATTGCAGATCCTTATGCGTAAATCAAATCAAAAACATAAACGAACCTGTAAATCTGAATCGAAGAGCGCGGAGAACAAGCTCGTGCTGGTCAAACCAGCTATAAACGTCAGCTCAAACCATCCTCACAACATAAAACCACCATCAACACGTAGACACTGAAGCGATCAACGCGAATTTGAAAGAAACAGATACAGAAAACGATCCATGCAGAGCAGATCTGCAGGAGAAGAAGAACCGAGGAGGCTCATAGAGTTGTGAGGAGAGAGAAACAGAACGTTGAGGCGCTGAATGATTTAGAACCAGACACCCTAACGTAATTTTATAATAGGGATAAAAGCGGATGTACGGTTGCGATTGATTTCTAAGCTTTAAGATCGACGGCTAAGACGTAATCACAGGGTTTGGTGGATTCGGCGGTAGTCCATTTGTACACGTCTCTGATGCGCTGGAGACAGAGAAAAGAAAACCTTTGCGTTTTTCGTAAGCACTTTCCTTTTTTGAATTTATTATACAACACGTTACCGTTTTTGTCGGGAATCGGATTCACGTCCTTATCAGGTTTCTTACTATAATTAGGTGTCTGTCGCGCGAATTTACTACCTTATCAGTTTTTTACTACAATTAGTTTTCTCTCGCGCCAATTTGTTATCTTTTCTTCTAGATTATTCGACGTTTGCTACGGGTCAAGCTCGATATAAATCGGGATTATATATTAGTGTGTTTCCTTAGGATTGCACGGCTATGATTTTGAACCCGGGTGCCACATGGGGGAAGGGTACCCGTTCGACCATTGCGGTACAACTCCATTGGTTAGGACATGTGTATACTGAAAATTCTTTAATCACAAAGGGATGGGGTGCCTCCAATGACTATAGGTAAGTATTGTCCTCATAAAATATTTTAAATAAAAATGTGACGAAGAAAAATAAAAATAAAAAAAACCATCCATTTTATCAACACAGTTCTGAATTTATTTCTCACATATCCTCCTTTCGGGACTCTCAAAATGATGTGGGCTACATTTACTTTACGTACAAACCTACTAAAATAATAGAAAATTCGACGATACAAGTGAATTTCATTGGTAACAAAAAAATACACAGGGGAACATATTGAGCCTTCCCCCTCAAAATGTATCTAGCACATGCAAGAAAAAAATACAACAATAAATAAACAGGAAAGCAAGCAAGAACACCAAAATCAATTGCAAATCTTGATATCTAAGAGTCTTTGATCTCTTAACATTTCGATATTGATTCGACATTATAAAGTATAACCTATTGAATAATATATGGAAGATGTAAATATATAGATCAACAAAATCTCCAATTGATAATTCACACAAACAAGCAAGAACACCAAAATCAATTACACATCTTGTTTGATAATTCACAAGTCTTAATTGTAAATCCCTAGTTAATACTTCATAAACCCTAAACAATCTCCAAAATTTTAACATCCATACATTTAGAGAAGAAAAGCAAATTGAAGAATTGAAGATTACCTTAGTTTGCTTTAATTAACTCTTGAAAAATGACATATGTTTGTTAATGAGATTTTATTTGGTTGGGATGGGGGTTGGTTGTCACGTGTGGGTTAGTTTTTTTTCTTCCTGTTTTTGGTTCGTCAGACTTCTTGTGGGGTTTAGTTAATGAGATTTTATTTGTGTGGAATGAGCGTTTGGGGCTTGCAAGGGAGGACTGGGATTTTAGGCTAAAAAAAATCAAGTGAGTTAGGCTACACCCCAGATTAGCCTAGACATAAGACCGTCCCTGCCTCTCTTTCAAAAAAAAAAAGACTTACATATATGATATAATTATGTATATACTGCTTTTTTCAATCGTTCTCCTCGCATGGTAACTCACAAAGGAAGATTTATGGATATATAATGAGGGATTCCATGCGTGAGGTTCTTTTGAGGAACCTCACGCATCCTTATATAGCTCTGACATTTCTCTATCATAATGTTTGATTCTCTATTGTAATTCTAACACAATCGTTTTTGGGGCCAAAATATATCAACATAATTTTTTTCTCTCACATTAGGCTTTTGGGTTAGGATTGTTAGTGGTGGTCTTGAGCTTGTGCTACGTTTGGATTTTGCCTTCGAATTGTGCTGCCCTCCTTTTTTAACAGTAATTTCTTCTTTTTTTTAATTTAGGAACCATGAACTCTGCATGCAAATTATTACAAAATCCAAATGCAGATTGAAGCAAATGATCAATTGAAAGACAACTTTAATCCAACGAAAGAGAATGAAGTTTGGTGATTCAATAAAGCCAAAAATGAATGAAATTATTACGAACTTTAAAGCCTTTCCAAGTATTAACATATAATCAACAAATTAAATAAAAATGATTTGCAAAATGAAAAGGAATTATATAGAAAGGCCACCGAATCCACACAGATCAATCCGCTCGCGGGCTCCTTCATTAGTTTGTTGATGCATTGGCCTGAGTTTGGTGTCGTCCTTTCTCCTTCTCCTTCACTTCGCTTCCCTGCGTCTTGTCATAAGCAGGGTGGTTCTCATGGATCAGCTGATCCTGCTCTGTCTTCGGAAGAGACTGGTTTCCCGAAAATACCCCTCCAAATCCTTCCTCATCAGACCTCGTCGCATACCCTTCCCCAAATGAATGAGACATCGCATCTCTAATTAATATACAACAAACAAAATGTACCCAGATTAACACTACTAATCCCTCGTTATGAATCAACAAGTCAATTAATTATGCATGTGATGTGAGAAATACCATTCTAATATCCGTATCAATCATCATAAACAGTTGATTATATACCAAATGTTAGTTCACAATATTTGATACATTGTCGATATTCTCATGTGACGTGACGTGGGAAATACCGATTGAATATTGACAATGCACCGAATAGTGTACAAAAACCAAAAACCCGATAAGTTAACATGGGAGATAACAATAAGAAATGTGTAGACTAACCCAGTTTTCTGCTGGTTAGGGTTCTGTGTCTTGTCCATGTTATGTTTACTATCTGGATCAGTAGAAATAGTTGCGTTCTGCCTAAATCGGATCCCGGAAGGATTTTGGACTAAGTTTGAGAGCGATTGGGTTCTGAGTGATCTTATTGTATGAATCATGTTTTGCGTACCTTGTAGGAATTTCTGCTGGTTGCTATTTATACATGAAAACACACAAACATAACTGAGGATGGCTAGTTCCCCCCCATCTTCCGCCTGGACCTTTGGTTTGTGTTGTTACCAGTTACTCTTTCTCGGTGATTGCGGATTTGCGATGGTGTTGCAGCAGATGGTCTTTGGGTGGCGCGGCTGTGGCTTTTGCTCAGATCTAGGGTTTTCTGTTTTTCATTTTGGGCTTTTGTTCTTGGGCCTTCTCTGTCTGTTATTTACTTTACTGTTTGGCCCTTTGTTTGTTTGTTTTGCTAGTGTTTCGGCTTTCCTTCACCTCTTGTAATCCTTTTCAATTTATTTGATTAGAATTACATTGACCAAAACAACTTGAAAGCGTTTCTAGATATTCACATTCACAGTACATAGAGAGCTAGATATAGAGCTAGTCAATACAAATAGGTACATGGGTCTCCTCGCTTCATAAAACAGATTAGCAGAAATTATAAAAACATACAAAAGCGAAAATTAACAAATCTATATAAAAGCACTGCATGTATATATATATAGTCGACTCTCGTATATATTAGTTTAGTTATGATGAAGCACTTTTCTGGTGTCGCGCTTTCTCCTTCTCCTGCACCTCACTCCCCTGTGACTTGTCAACAGCAGGGTGGTTCTCATCCTGCTCCGTCTTCGGAACTGACCGGATTCCCCCATATACCACTCCAAACCCATCGTCATCGCACCTCGTCGCATACCCCTCCCCAAATGAATGTGACAAACCGTCCCTAATATATAAATATTTTACAGTCAAATAACATTAGCCAACCTAAATTAAATACACATCCAACTTACTTTCAAAGAAAATGTGATAATCATGGTATAAAGCCACTTACCCAGTTTTCTCACTAGGTTTGGGCTCTGGCTTGTCCATGTTGTGCTCACTATCGGACTCGCCAGAGCGCAGGGTTGTGGCCTGTTTGAATCGGACCCCGGAAGCTTTCCGTCCCAAGCCTGGCGGTGGCAGAGGCGACGAGAATATCAATGCTGGTGATTGGGTTCTGAATGTTTTGAATGCATTAATCATCTTTTGCATCTTCAAACTTCTACCGCTTTCTATATATATATATGCCGGTGAAGGGACTGTGGATGAAGCCAGCACAACCGTGTCCGATTCTTGTAGCGGAGTTTTTTTATTTCAAGTCATGACACGTGGCGATAAAGTGGACAGGTGTCGCTTTTCTGAGAGGAAAATTTGTGTACGTGGGCTTTCGACTGTCCATGTCGTCAGAAGATAAGGAAGAGCACCACCAAGGTGTAACATCAGATATGTATTTATTTGTACTAGTTTAATTCGTTGTATGGGTTTAATTCGTTGCACTAAAGTAACATCAGATATTTATTTATTGTACTAGTTTTATGAACTTAGGTGTATATTATATCGTTATTTTATAATTAATTTTCTTTCATAACGCACACTACATGCGACTTACAACTTTGTTTTATTTTGTAATTGTATTTTTCTAGATGGTGGTTTTCAAAATTTTCCTTGATTATGCATATTTTTCTGGATGTTCGTCTCAATAGTTTATGCACTGTAAAAAAAAAAACTGTCATATGATAAATTAAGAGTGCTGCTAAACGAACCCTAAAATTAATTGAGTACACCCTATGATCTAAGTACACCCTAATATTTAAATCAAAATGTAAAATTAACTAAGTACACCCTATGATCTAAGTACACCCTAATATTTAAATCAAAATGTAAAATTAACTAAGTACACCCTATGATCTAAGTACACCCTAATATTTAAATCAAAATGTAAAATTAACTAAGTACACCCTATTTAATTACCAAAAATACCCCAGATACACCATAATCCACTCTATCACACAGAAACAAACCCATTTGAATCTGGTAACAGCATTCATCAAGGTCAAGTGGCATACTAAATTATTCGGATATCATGGCTGAGAAGCTTTGATTCAAAGGCAGCAGAAAGCCCCTTGTTTTCTCTTTGATTTATTATTCGCCAAAACCAATACAACCACATCGAGAATACATATCGATCAACGAGTTACTTATCCTAATATTGTCTCTAAAATCTTAGAGTAATTTGACAAAAAAAATTGGGAATTATCTTTAAATTGCTCAAAATTGAAACTACATAGACAAAATTGATCAAATCGAAACTATAAGGACCAAAATGGTAAAAATGATAAACTACAATGACCAAAAATGACTTTTTGCCTAAATTAATGTCTCCCTACATTATTGAATCAGGGAGATGGTTCCACACCCGAGAGCTGCATCTCCCGAAACCACTCCAATGCTTGCTCGAACTGACCTTTCTTGACAACCCACCAATCAAAACAATCCAAGAAACCGCATCTCTCTGTGGCATTTGTTCAAACAGCTTGACCGCATCGTCAACCTTGCCATTTTTCATATACCCATCAATCATCGTATTCCAAGACATTGAATTCTTCACATACATTTATTTCATAATTCAAAATATCCTTTTTGGTAATTTTATATTAGGATAAATTAGTAATTTAATAAATAGTTTGATAGTAGGACCAAAATGGTAAAAATGATAAACTACAATGACCAAAAATGACTTTTTGCCTAAATTAATGTCTCCCTACATTATTGAATCAGGGAGGAAGAGAAGAGGAGAGAGAGGACGAAGAACAATGGCTTCCTCCTCCCTTAAAGTGAAAACGGCTCTAGGAGTGTTTTTTGGGAGAAAAGGGGCTATGGTTTTTTCCCTGTTAGACAAGTAATTATATTTTTCTAAATGGTCGTTTTAAAAAAATTTCTTTATTGCGTGTATGTTTCTAAGTATCTCCCTACATATGCCATCTGACAAATTTTTGGAACATGATGTACAAAATTAGCCTATAGCCCAAAATTGGATGCGTTTTAAATCCCTGGGAGAAAAGCCCAAAATTCTTTTACCCATAAAAATTGTAAAAAATCATTTTTAGTCCCTATAGTTTACTACTTTTATCACTTTGATTACTGTCATTTAAATTTGATCAATTTTGTACTTGTAATTTCAATTCTTAGCAATTTAAGAACAATCCTTAATTTTTTATCAAATTACTTTAACATGGAGGGGTATTTATGTCCAATATTACATCCCCTCCACAACTACTCTCTAGCCACCCAAGCAACCCCGAATGTAACTTTTCTTATGCTTTCAAGTCTCAAGCCCCACTTTATCTTGAGTTCATGATAAGAGGTTTTAGGCAATGCATGTAATTAGTTTTGGAGTTTGATGAGAGAGAGAGATAGTGAGAGGAAAAGGTGGTTGTGGAGGGAGGGGATAAGGTGATTGTAGGGGTGGTTGAGTTATAGCTATAGGATAGGGAGTGGGTTGAAGTAGGAGGAGGAGGAGGTTGGGTAGGGGCTGCTAAGTTTTTGTGGGGGTGGTTGTGGAGGGGCTGTAAGTTGGATCAAAATGCCCCTCCATATTAGAGTAATTTGACAAAAAAAATTGGGAATTGTCCTTGAATTGCTCAAAATTGAAACTACATAGACAAAATTGATCAAATCGAAACTATAGGGACCAAAATGATAAAAATGGTAAACTACAAGAACCAAAAATGACTTTTTGCCTAAATTAATATCTCCCTACATTATTGAATCAGGGAGGAAGAGAAGAGGGGAGAGGGGACGAAGAACAATGGCTTCCTCCTCCCTTAAAGTGAAAATGGCTCTAAGAGTGTTTTTTGGGAGAAAAGGGGCTAGGGTTTTTTCCCTGTTAGACAGGTAATTATATTTTTCTAAATGGTCGTTTAAAAAAATTTCTTTATTGCGTGTATGTTTCTAAATATCTCCCTACGCTAGCCATCTGATAAATTTTTGGAACACAATGTACAAAATTAGCCTATAGCCCAAAATTGGATGCGTTTTAAATCCCTGGGAGAAAAGCCCAAAATTCTTTTACCCATAAAGTAGCCCAAACTTTCTTTGCCCACAAAGTAGGCTATTGCCCGCCTCTGTTGTCGACCATGACTATTGCTTATTGAACTTAGCAGCAAGTTCTGATCTTTTGGTTACATTCACTAACACAATAATTACTAGTACAAGAATACTAAGGCTTCTCCTTACATGGAAGGAATCATTCCTCTTTGATATTTACCGATTATACTTTGACGTGTTGCAGACAATTTTCCCTTTTTTTCTAGCTTTAATGGGTTATTTTCTATAAATGTTTCGGACTTGATTTCAAGCTAACGAAGAACAACTCCGGTTATACAAATGATTTTGATTTTTTCCTTTTCTGTAGAACAATTTTCCGTATAAGTTTTGTGTCGAAGCTTAAGAATGTAAACGAGACATATGTTTACTCTCACCGTTTCAACACTCTACTATTCCTTACTATTTTTATTATTTATAGTTATTATATCCCGTAACACGCCAATGTATGTATCAATCGAAATTCAAAATATTTGTTTATCTTAGAGAATAATGGTGTAGGTTAATCTTGCTAATTTGAAATTGCGATCTTCCAATTAAGTAAACAATCCCTCTTGATCACTTCAGAAAAGTTAGAAATCAAATTGAAGTATGATCGCAGAGTTGATTCAAATATGAGATGATATTGTCGTCGACGTAGATGAACACGTTTCCTGGCGCAATAGCAATAGTATAAATACACAACACATGCATGCATCCGAGTCATGACCCAGTCAGCCACTGTGTATAGATGACATGTCACTTTTACACTTTGATGGTAACAACACAATCGCCAATGTCTCCTCCCTCCCTCCAGAAGGAAGAAGCGCAAGGCTGGGATGGGACCACTTTGCACCATGCATGATGTCATCGTCAGAGCACATTCTGCACATCTCTGATAAAATCACCCTCCCAAAAACGTCAAATTCATCACCAGTACCCTAGTGAAAAAGTGCACCCCCAAAATCTCCCTCCTACTCTATTTGCAAATTGCAACAGCAGCAGTCACCTCCTCTCGCCAATACAGCCTCTTTCTTTCTGGTGGTGGTGTGACGGTTTGATCACTGTGTAGGCTTAAAAGCCTCAAAGTCTCAGAGGCAAGTACCCTATTATATATACATTGATGTTCGTCTTTTCACGTGACAGTATGTGATTGGCTTGAAACGCCGTTGACGTTACATCCTGCTACACGAAAGTTGTTCTCCGTTTGTGAGGCACTCACAACAGTGAAACAGTCAGTTGCATTCCTCCAGCTCCAAATATGAATTTGGGTTGATGAGACTCATGCAATCGCACAAAAGAACCAATCCAATCTGTCGAGTACTGTAGGTTTTGAAAGACCAGTCAAGGCGACTTGTTCAAATGTTACCAAATCTCCAATGTGCACTGTTTCATTACCGTTGTAGTAAAGTTCTCACCTTTTAACCCTAAAGCTATAAAGTAACTTAACTACATCATCTTCAAACTGTACGCAGAGCAATGAGTAAATCCACATAATGAGTGTAGTTATTCATATGACATCAACGGTCAAGATAAACTCCCGCTACTCACCCACATTCTTCTGTTGAGATTAGGCTCTTTATCTTGGCCCTTTTATATAAAGCAAAGTGGTACATTGTTGACTCATCTTAACTTAAATTAACCAAATTACTTGATGACAAAAGCTATATCAATTATCCACAAAATCTTCAAACATTATATGACCTCCTTTTAATTGATCCTTCTTTTTTACCAGTAGAAGCGCCTCACTAAAGTCTAAAAGATAATTATGTTTAGTAATTGTCTCAAGTACTGGCTAATCTAATCCCAAAAGACTCATTTTAAGTTTTTGACTAGCACAATATACCTTTCCTTTATAAAAAAAGAAGAACAAATATGAAAAGCGATGAGCGCTGCTATTTCTACCCTCGTCATATTTTCCCACCCACCTTATACTAATACGTGTTTAAAGTTATCAAGTTGAACTATTTATAACCAGTTAATCACTGCCTTAGCTGTCAAGTTCCCAAATAAAAGGGGTCCTGGGTACAATTAGTGATGAAAAAGACCTCTTTCAAGTAATGAAATTGCCAAAGTTGGGGTATTTGAGCCATTAACCCAATAAGTGATGTGAGCCAGCCATCTTTGGAAAGATATGAATTCTTCCAAGTTTTAATTGTGAAAACAAAACAACCATTTGATGATTTTGATAATTTCTCCAGTTATGAGGAGAAGGACATTTCACAGGATAGTGCCAGACCAGCAGAGGGGCTTAAAGGGTCCATTTCTTTGCAATTCAAGACGGTGTTATTCTGCTGAGGACGACAGAAGAGGGAGGGCTTTGTATTTTTACGAGTAACAGAGCAAGAGATATTGAAAGAGACTTATACCAAACCCCACATAGTGACATTTTTTAAAATTAATTAATTAATTAATTTTTGGGTTTAAATGGGACCCTAGAAGACAAAGCAAATTTCTATATACTCAAACGTTTCTTTTACAACGACGCTTGAATGGTCACAATCACTCGGACCATAAGCAGAGCATTATCATGCAGTGCCACTGCCTTCTTTGTCATGCTTTTGGCCCATTGATTTTGTACAGAGAGAGAGAGAGACCAGGAAAGGGGTTGGTTCTCCACCCCAAGCTTGTAAGAAAGAGAGCCAGAGAAGGATTGATCTCAGAGTGAAAGGGACATGCATTAATATCATAATTAGGAAGAAAACATGGCCCATGGATTGAAAAAATAGACGCATTTACACATTGGATGGGCGAGAAACTCCAATGCTCAAGCAAATTGCTAAGTTGCTTTAACTCCAAGTCATTGTCTTTTGCGCTGGTTTAAGGAAATTGATTACGAGGCAGAAACAAAAGCAGCAGCCTTTGAATATGGAAAGTTGAGCAGCAGGAGAAAAAAATATCTCTGCTGGCAGATCACTTACAGCAGGTCGTCTTCATCAAGAGACCAATTACAGACATCACAGCTTTGCGTGCGCGGGTAATGGGTCTTCATCAAACCCTAATTAGTCTTACAGACACAACCTGGTGGATAATGAGCCAATTAAAACTGTCAGAAATCTATTACACACTGCTACTGCTGCTGCAGGTCACAAAAATCTGATGCCTGCCTGATGGCATAGGCATTGAAATAAATTGCGGAGCCACGGCCTCTGTGAGGTAAACCAAACTTGCAGCCATAAAGCCAGAATACTCGAAAGGTGCAAGCTTTAATGTAAAAATAAAAAATGAGATCACTAATTAACCATTTCTGACGGTAATAATCTTTGCTGAACAAAAGAATGAAGCTGAACTGAAGAAATAGAAACTAAATTCAATATGAAGATTCAAATTTACATACAGAAACTACAGACAACAAAGGGGGCAGAACCTTGTTACCCCTTGATTTGATTTTCAATGCCCTTTTTTTTTTTTACAATTAGTCATATTCAGAGTCTCAAACCTGTAAGAAAAACCCCAACCGAAAAAACAAAAGAAAAAAACCAAAGAAGACCATGATAACGTTGGAGAATGATCAAAAACTAGGAACAAACTACAAAAATTAACAAGCAATTTGTGAACCAAAAAGCTCAAAAGAGTGATGGTGGTGGAGGTGATTTTATATGCTGAAGTAAAATGAATACTAACTGTAAGTTCACTAGGGCAGTCTTGAGTTCCATTTCTGATTATGAAGAAGAAGAAGCACTGAACTAAGACCACTGTCAATGGCGTACTGAAACTAATAGGCTTCCACCCAGTATTAAAAGACCTGGTGAAAAACCCAATTCCCAAATTGAAGCAAAACCCATTAACGCCATGATGAAACAGTGAACAGAGGAACTTCGTTCCAAGCCAAAGAGAGAAACCCAGGTGGAGATTCAATTAGAGAATACAAAGAATTGTTGTAGTTCCAAAGAAGGATCTTGGCCTGGCTCACTGCGTAATGGCTAAGTGCTACCGGCTCAAAACCGGAGCTTTCCATCAAATACTTCCATTGCTCTTTGTCTTCGAACCGTTCTCTCTTGGTCCCCGGTTGCTCCGGCCCAACCACGCCGCCAATTCGACGACCCAGTAAAAGCTTCTCCACTTTAAGCCTCTCCGGCGAGTCTCGGGTCATGTTCGGCTCCAGCGACTCAAACAGTGCGGTGTAGTACTTCAACGCGTTCTTGAACCGGCTCGTGAATGCAACCCGGTTCAAGTTCGCTTCGTACTCGCCCAAAGTCACAATCTTCGGGTTCAGCGATTTAGCTAGCTTCAGAGCAGATTGAACTGCCGTTGGAGTCTCATCAAGTAGGTTGTACAATTGGAGCATCAAGTTCACAGCCAAGGCCTCGTCCGGTTCTACCCGGAAGCACGACTCGTCGAGCTCTTGAACCGGAGTGAGAATCGGTTCGAACTCGAAGTTCAATTCCAGAAGCTTGGCAAACTCGCGCAGTCGATTTCCAGTAGCGAACAGCGAGGCCACCGGCGATGTCCCCAGAGACGGAGCGGGGATGCCGGACGGAGATCCGAATTCTGCTGGGTTTTCCGGTCGACCTGGTCGCCAGGGCCTGCAACAGAGCGGCCCATTGGACCCCTTGAACGATTCCGAAGTCGACTATGTGGATCTTCGTCGCTCTCTCCGTCGCTTCGAGAATGGCCTGGTTCGCAGTCAAATGGGCAAACTTGGAATAGGGGCAAGCGTCGTTTAGGGCCTTGTAAGAGAGAGTGAAGTCTTCGCAAGCAGTGTCGTAGGTCGTGGTGGCCGCCAAGCTTTTCTCCGATTGCAGAGACAACACTCTGCTCTGCAACGCTTCGGTGAAGTAAAAACCAACTCTTTCAGTTGGATCTCCGCGGTCTGAGACCGATTCTCTGAGTCGAATCAGTGATTTGACGGCGCGGTCCGGGTCGGACTCGGCGAGCCGGGCGCAGTCGAGTAGAGCCTTCAGTAGCGGCGGCGCTGACTCGATCTCCGGCGACCTTGACGAGACCCCAACGGCATCGTTTGGCTGCGGAGGAGGAGGGTCTGCTGATTTGGCCTGTTTGACTACAACATGCGGTGTTGGTGGCGGCGGAGGAGGGGCGGTCCAGGCTGGCAACTGGTTCTGAGTTTCAGAGAAGATGACTCGGTTGAGATCGGACGGTGGGGAGCAGGGGTTGCTGAGTCGACTCGGGCAGGGGGGTTGGAATGGATCGGCACCGTAGAGACCGAAATCAGCATTGCTGCCATGCCACGTGTCGCAAGCAGAGGGCAGATTAGAACTATCCGTTGAATCCCCACCGCCTATGATACTATCCATCCACTCGTCCGAGTCGAACTCGGCAGCGCCACCGCCGCCTAAATCAGAAAACCGGAACCCAGTGGGGTGGTGATCCAAGTTGGGAAACGGAAACCCAGGCTCCCCGCCGGCGTCAGAGCTTCCGGAAAGCTGAAATGGGTCGGGAAACCCCGACCCGGTTAACCCGTAGCCCAAATTGGGGCTGTGAGTGTTGTTGGGCCAGGGAGTGAGAGAGAAAGCGCCGAGCGGCTGCTGTTGGTGGTGATGGTGCTGCTGTTGTTGCTGCTCCTGCTGCTGCTTCTGCTTGATGACTTGCTGAGCAATCGCCATTAGATTGCCACTGTCTGCGCACATATATGCCATTCTCCGGCCAAATCCAACCGGAAACCGCTGCACTCACATTACAACAACACAAACCCACAATCAGAACATAGCAGCGAAGTGAGTTCCAGAGTGAAAGACTGAGACTTTATATAGTGAGAGAGAGAGAGAGAGAGAGAGAGATAGAGTGGTACATACACAACTGGAGGTCCAGAAACAACGGGATCACAACTTGGTTTGCTGAGCTAGAGAGAGAGAGAGAGAGAGAGAGAGAGAGAGTCGACGTTTGTATAGAGCAGAGCTTTGGTTTATTATTTATTAATAAATAGGATTTTAAGAAGGAGAAAGCAAGCAGAGCAGCTGAAGCTAAAAACTTTCGAAGTACTTGAACCCCAGAAGAAGGACCAAAAACCAAACCCAAGGCGCTCGCTCTGCTGGAGTTGATTAAAGTCCATCCAAAATCAGCAACAGTGTGGGACCCACTTCCTCATTTTGCAAAAAGATTAAAAAAGAAATTCCCGATTTTGAAAACCAAAAAAATGAAAATTAAGAAATCATGAGATGAGAGTAGAGGGAACCACCCCTACTAAAAAAAAACCTAGGCCCTCTTTTCTGCGCTCTCACTTTCTTTTTTTTCTTTTTTCTACCTCAGTGACGTGGCGCCCATATGAGAGTGGGCCCGGCCTACTCAAAAATATGACAACACCGTGTCACGAACGTCCACGTGTGTAGGTCTTTTTTATTTTCCTCCCGCTGTGTTCGGGCCATGTGGGACCCCGGGGCTCTCGATTTTAAACGGCGCGTCCATGTCACCGTCTACGAGTGACGTCATGGGGTCTGATCTTTTAGGGAAAAGGTAAGCAAATCCTGGCCGCTCGTTTCTCTGACTTACACAAAAACAGAAACGGACTGCGTTACCTGTCTGCTTCATCTCTTATGCCTGATGCGTGTATGCAGTTGGCGCTTTGTACGACATGCAATTACTGTAGTTTAGTCTTGGACCTGAGTCAAAAGGTAAAAATGTGAATCCAACAACAACGAATGGTGAGGTGAGGTGAGTTTATAATACATTCATCAGCCATAATTACTTTTTGGATTTAAACATTACATGATGTGTCTCTACTACCTTTCCTATTAGAAATCGACAAAACAGAAAGAAAAAAAAAAAAAAAAACTTTCCTATTAGTACTAAATCAAGTTTTTCAAAAGAAAAAAAAAAAACTAAGTGAAGTTTTGTAGTGGTCCTCAATTCTGACTAGGTAAAAAGAGTTATGCTTATCTGAGTCACGCCACGGTCTATAATAATCTATAATCATCAATGGTTGAAATTACTTCACGTGGCCACCTATAACTGACGTTAGCATTCTCTTACGCAAGAAAGCACCACATCATATCATTATCAAACTTTAATATTCAAATATAATTAATGTAGTAGTACTATTTTTCATTCGATAAATCAACAACTAGTTTCAAATTAATTATGTGTATTTTAAGTATTGAATGAGGTGGAACGAGTAAAAAACCCAAATTCAAATTCCTCTCCTTCCGTAATGTAAAAACAAAACAATTTTATGAGGCATGAATCTAGATCAAAAAGAGAACACAATGCAAAGTATAGTCAAGAGATAAAAAGTGAGTCAAGGCCCAAGGGTGGGGATGGAGGGGGTGATTTTTAGATAAAAAGGGTGGAGATAAGGGTTAAAAAAGGAAGAAAGAGCATAGAAAGGTGAAAATTTGGAGTGGGCTTTTTTTAATGGGGCAAAGTGGGAAGGGAGGGAGAGACTCGCAGGCAGATTGGGGTCCGTTCTTTTTGGGCGGTCGGTGGGCCCACTCTAAGACTACATGGGCCCTCTTTGTCAAGGACTAATGAGGAAAAGTGGGCACAGTGTGGTCCCACGTGGACAATCTTGGACCAACCAAAATGCAACAACTGAGAAAAGCAACGGTGCACGAAACTTTGACGTGGAACAAACAAACCAACGGGCAACAAACCCAGTGAAAGCAACGTCCACCGTGGGCTTTCGGAATTTGGTGGTGGTGCTGGTGGAGATGTCTACCACATTAACATGTTTTCTTATGTTACGTTTCATTCAAATGCAAAATAAATATATATATTCAAAGATTCAAAAAAGTGAGAACCAAAATTTCTTTTTCAGAATCTGAGACATGTGTTGGTGGTGTAAGTCAATGGATTCATTATGTTGAAATGTATTTTCGTTGGAAAATAGTCATTCAATTCACTATTATAGGTTTATTTGGGATGTACGTAATGTAATTTCGGTGTTGTGATCAGAAGTCCTTATTGGCGTCAAAGCAAGTGAATCGGGAAAATTTTCGGTGTATTCGGTCATATATAATTGTATTTTTATATCTTTTGTCACGTTTAAGAATACAAACAAGTGGTAGAAAAGTTTTTCTCCGAATTAAGATGTGATAATAAGTAGAGGTCAACCAAATGAGTTGTTTTTAGTGATGATCACTCGGCAATTGGGACGTGGATTTGAGGTGGTGTTGTAGATGGGAAAGGCTGTGAAAGAACTCTTTATACTTTTTATATATATATTTTTTGGCTCTCTAATTAAGATTATCAATTAATGATGTAAAAGCGAAATGGACAAAGATTAGAGGTCTTAGTCCGCCGTCACTAGTTGGGTTGATTAGACAAGAAATCAAAGCAATCCATTGCTTAGCTTATCTTTCTCATTTGGACTAGACCCACAACCGATGCATATCCTCCTTTACCATTTCTTTTTCTCCATCCACTTTTCACACCTTCAATTAAGTTAACCAAGGTTCTCAAATTCTCATTTCTCATTATCTAATCAATATTTATTTTACTTATTCTCATGATTCTACTTCACAATACCAATAATTATTATATACACGCAACTTATAACTGTTTATCTTAACACTATTAATTTACATGTGACTTCTACATGCATGTTACGAGAGACAAGATACATATTGCGAGAGACAAGTTATATAACTGATTCACTTTTTTTAATCAATCATAATAATTAATACATCTACTTCATGGAATTGGAAGGTGTTTAAAAAGAAAGAATTGTGAAGTGCGAGTCTATAAATCATCAAAAGCAAAATTGTTGCCTAAATTTAGGGTTTGGGGGGTTCGAATTGTATAGTGTGCAACTGGACCAATTCAATAATAGTTTAATTGTACAGTTGAATCTACCTAATGCAATATAAGTGAAGGGTCATTTTGTAGTATAGGCTTTTGACTTCATAAGATATCAATAGCTAGGATCATAGGGTAGAAAGCTATTATGAACAACTAAAAAATACAACAAAAATAGGGTTAGTGAAACTAAACCAAATAGTAATTAGAGCACTTCCACTGGTGCGCCAGGGCCAGGGCAAGGGGGGAGCCCAAGCCAAAAAACGCGTTCCAGCGGGCTAAAGCTGCCAGGACAGTTGCTGGGGCCCACGAAACCAGACCAGTCTTCGGGCAAAATGAGCCCGTGATTTAGCCTGGGTTTGCTAACGTCAACAACAAAAAATAAAAAATAAAAAATCGAAAAAAATACACAAAATTTCAGAATTTTTTTAAAAATTAGTACTTAGTCATATTTTTCACTTCCCACACGAAAACTCTATATAAATTCCTCTCCTCATATCTCATGTGAATAGTTGTTGCCATGGCAATGGGTGAAAACACCACAACCTTTTGCAAGGGCTGCAACTATTCACATGAATAGTAACAACCCTAACCTTTCCCATGGCAAATGAATGGAAGTGCTCTCAGGATTAACTCATAGAGCACTAGAGTATACGAATATAACAATTGCGCACGATGGATTAATTAAGCAGTAAGCAGCTTATAGCTTAGTCAACAATCTGATTAAGAGCCAGCACTGAAATAGTGTTTTGTTTTAAAAAGTTATATAGGTATGGCTAATAGCTGCGGGACTCTTGCTAGCCTGAGATAGGTGAAAATTTTGAAATTCAGTCGAAAATGAAAGCAACAACAACTAGCATTACAATATTTTCTAATTAAGTTCTTTATTATTATTATAAAACAGCTTACATATGATGACATGTTATATCCCACATAACTTTTGCATTATGTTATGAAAATTGACCATAACTTTTTTGGGATCGACGTATTAATTATAATAATATTATTTGGACATTATTATCATATAGACGTTATATATTTTTTATTATTCCTTATTGTTTTTCTTCTTTTTTGTAATGAAATTCGCACGGTAATAATATACAGACATCCGAATGAGAGAATAACTGTACATATATATATATTGTTTTTTTAATAGCTAACTTTAGGCAGTTGTGAACGGGGTTGGGAATAATCAAATATTGAATGCAGGTTTATGATAAAGTACTTGAGTACTTTGGCTAATAATTGAGCGTCGTAATACACTTTTTATTTTATTTTATATGTAGTTCTGTTATTTTACAAATTTGGGCTACAAATTAGTCTTTTAATGTTGCCTGTTTAGTGTTCACCAACTCTTTTGTGGTCCACCAAAATCCCAACAGTGCATATCCCTTAATTTTGTATTACAAGTGTCATCATTTGATCAAATTAGTGCAAAAAAGAAAAGGAAAAAAAACACTGATCAATGTATATTTGTCTAAGTGGGAAAATCTATATTTTCAAATTCAATCAACCAATTGTGTAAAATGTAAAGAAACAATAGTTTTTACAAATAGGTCAATTCTGACATGACATTTTATAAATAAATAAAAAATATTTAAAGTATAATACTTTAGACAAATTTCATGCTATGCTTTTAAGTGAAATTTTTTTAATATGCTAAGAATCAATTAGAAAATAACAAGTAATTAATTGAGGGATTTTTTTCTTACATGATATGAAACTCAAAATTTTAAAGAAATCATGTAAAACCCATCATATTGTGACAAATTAAATATTAAACATGCTAAGAATCAATTAGAAAATAACAAGTAATTAATTGAGGGATTTTTTTTCTTACATGATATGAAACTCAAAATTTTAAAGAAATCATGTAAAACCCATCATATTGTGACAAATTAAATATTAAAATAAGGTTAGGTTCTATACATGTTTTCTATATATTTAAGACTCTTTAAAATAATGACACTTTCTTAGTCTTGGAACGTGATAAATTAAATAAATGACTTACCACCGCCACCACCATCACCACCTTAACCATTAGCAAGGTAATATAGAAATCAGTCCCAAACACAGTTTATATTATATTAGGACAATAACAAACATCATAATCACAGGACAAGAACGTCATCCGTCATCCGCACCAAGTGGGTCATATAATTGAAGCCGTTATTCAACTTGAGTGACTGTAATCGTAATGACTAATGAGTACTTAATTTCCGGATTAAATTGAAACACTCATGAAAAAGTTTTTTAAAAAAATAC